TTGGGATGCATTTCACAGTAAATTGTAGACTCATGATAACATAATGCTCTATACTGTGATGTTTAGTTTTTTTCCATTACACTTCAGATTTTTTAAAAAATATTTTTAAATCTTGTTTGAAGTATTCTGTTTGTACTGCTTGCCCAAACTTGCATATTTGCACCTTTTAACAATCAAGAACTCAGTGCATTTGTCCACATTACATAAACCCCGGGTGCCCACACTTCCTTAATCTTGCTCTTGAATTTTTTTCTCTATTACTTCCCCTCTTATCTCTTCACGTGGTACAACTTTCATGTGCTTTCCCTTTTCTCTTTCAGCTCCCCAGCAGATAATTTTTAAACTAAACAACAGCTGAACAATACCCCCACTGTTCTGCGTGTCTGGGTATGCATGGCACGTCCACGCTTGTCCAGGAGAGAAGGAAACACAATTTCTTCCTTTTTATTTCTTTGCATCAAAAGTGATTAAATCTGTCTGCATGACCTTCATACATCAGACCATTTGGCTATTTTTAAAGTCTATTTAATAGAGTAAGCCAGGCTGCATTCCCTTCGTAGAAGAAATCTTTACCACTAAGTGGTGTGGTAAATGCCAAGAGAACAATTCATCTTTTGTGGGACAAGAGAAAAACTCTGCCAGCTTACAATTGCTGGATTGTTTAAATTATTATACGGTAATTCATGTTAGTTACATATTTGTATTGTTGTACAAGTATTTTCTTAATTTGGTTAAAGATAACTTTGGGAAGGGAGTCCTGCTCTTGCAAAGCAGACTTAATAGGCCACGTTACACAATCTAGTACATTTCATTTTATTCTCTAGCCAGTTTTTTCATAAAAGGCTATCAGCACTGTGGTAAAGAGATTGCAAATAATCTCCAGCAACTCAGGCACCACTATGTTTTATTTACTAGCAACCATAACAAAGCTTTGGTTAAAAAAAAGAAAAAAAAACCGTAAGGAGCATTTTCCTTTTTGATGAGCATCAGTTTCACAGCAATCTTTTCAACCTTATCCAGGATTTTAAAGTTGGATTGGCTATTTCTTTTTGTTGGTACCAGGAATTGAACTCAGGACCTCATGCTTGCCAGGCAGACGCTGCACTGCTGAGCTATATCCCCGGCCCAAGATTGGCTATTTCTACGTGAAGGAGAAAAAAAATGAAAAAAATTTCATAATAAAGTATTAGAGGAAGAAAATGAAGAGAAGTATCCAGAATTATATTAGTTATTCCTACTTTTTAATGTCTAAGTACTTATACCTGAGTTCTGTTTTGCTTTGATGCCTAAGGTTGAATAGTGAGTTCACTCACTCAGTTCTCATTGGTCACCCGCTCCATACAAGGCAGTTGATTAAACGCTGGGAATAGAAAGGAGAAAGATCTATGCCCTGACCTCACAGAGTTTGTAGTTTGGTAGGGGAGATGGCACATGGGCCTGGAGTTATGTTATAGTCTGAGGTGCTGTGATGAGGGTGGAGTAAGAACTGAGGTGGGTATTCCCTAAAAACGACATAAGAATGCTCAGAAAGTCTTCCTGGGAGCATCTGCAGACACACAGGAGTGAGCTGACTGGAGAAGAAAGGAATCCTGATTAAAACTTTCTCTGTTATAAGCACAAAATGATGCTGCACAAACTGGTTTTAAAAAGGGAATATATTGGCTCACATACTGAGTGGCCTAGGGAATGTGGACTCCCATAGCTGGACCCAGGGCCTAGTGCAGTGTCCTCAGGGAGCCTGCCATCATGGAGTGCCTGGCAGTACCTCCCTTATTCCTTCCTAACAGAACCCAACATGTACTCACTCACATGGAAGGTGCTTTGTCCCTCAGGAGTGGCTAGGCTTAATAATTTTATCTATAGCCACTGTATTTGCAAATAAGGTCATATTCTGAGGTACTGGGGCTTAGGACAGTATATGTGAGTTTTGAGGGGACGCAATTCAATCCATAACACCTCACCTTTCTCTCCTCCCTCACTTTGAGCTCCTGCTGATGCTGCCCACTGACTGAACCCACCCAGAGGGTAAAGGAGCCTGCTGCTGGGAACCATAAAATCAGCCTCCTGAGGCACAGAGCTGGGGTAGAGAAAGTGAACCTGCAACGGCAAAAAGAATTTCTAGAACACTTTATGTTGCCTTCATTCTTTTTTCTTTTTCTTTCTTTCTTTCTTTCTTTCTTTCTTTCTTTCTTTCTTTTTTTTTTTTTTTTTTTAAGATAGGGTCTCGCTATGTAGTTTAGGCTGGCCTTGAATTCACTTTGCTGCCCAAGCTGGCCTCAGATTCACAGCGAATCTCTTGCCTCAGCCTCCCAAGTGCTGAAATTACAGGTGTGTGCCACCACGCCCGGCTTGCCTTCATTTTTGAGAAAGATTCCTCCACATAGCAACCAACACTCTCAACTGACTTGGTTCTAAGCCCCCACTGTCTTAATGGAGAGGCAGGGACCCTCTACCTCCCAGTTTGCATAAGTTTTCTAGAAGGAGCTGATCAGTTCTGTTTGGATTACAGAAGAGACTTGAGATGGAAGGAGAAGACAGGGCACCTGGTCTTCTGCGCTATTGCCATTTTTAGCCTCCCTCGCCCATTACTCTGGGACTTGTTTTCCCTGTGGCTTTCTAGCTCTCTGTCATCTAGGGACTGCATTCAGTTGCATGTAATGAAAATTCAGGATCCATGGAAATAAACCAAATGCTATTTATTTTCCTTACACATCAAGATGACCAGAGTAGGGCAGGCCTCAGAAGGTATAGTGGCTTAAGGAAGGCAGCAAAGGTTCTGGCTCCTTCTACACCATTTCCCCATCCTTAACATGTGGCTTTTGGCCTTATGGCTAATTGGTGCTATTCCACTGCCAGCCCCCCGTTTCCAGACTGGAAGAATTAGAAGGAGACTTGGAAGAATTAAGGGCAATAGAAATCCAGAAAGCAGAATTTTCTCAGAAATCTCTAGGATCTGTCCACATTTATCTCATAAAGCAGAACTTCCTACCTGGAAGCCTAGGAAATGTAGATTTTTGGCTGAATTGATGTCGCGTAGAAGAATGAGGTTTTGATAATGAGGATGAAGTCGAGTGGCTACTAGGTGAACGGGTCAGCAGGGTCAGCAGCCTGGCCATCGTACCACACACTTGCCTCTATCTCTTTTTTTATTTTTTGTTTTTTTACTTTATTTTAATTTAAAAATAAAAGAACAAAAACATATTAACAAACAGACATCCATTTACAAAATAGCACAAGAGCAATACAAGCAATACTGAATTACAGACAAGGTGACAGGAAATTAACAATAGTTGCTGTATTACGTATTGATAACTTCAAAGTGGTTTCTCAGGAAAACAAATATAGATATGCAAGATTGATCAAATAATTAATCATTAACTGTTCCTTTCAATAAAGTGATACAAGTCAGTAGTAAAACTATGTTAGCTACCCTGTATATACGTATATACGTAGTTCTCCCCTTCTTTCTTTTCTCTTTTCCCTCATCCCAGTTGCTCTTAACTTTTGAGCAGTTTCCTTTTGTTTCACCATGTCTGTCATATCTCCTAATTTTTATTCATTCTTTCAGGTTCTTGCACTAGTGAGACAATACGTTGCTTACACGTGCAGGTCTGATTTATTTCATTTATGAGTATGGTCTCTAGTTGTGACCATTTATGTATAAAATCCTCGAGTTTATCTTTCTTTACAGCTGAGTAATATTCCATTATATAAAAATGCCACAATATTTTTATCCAGTCCTCAGTGGATGGACATTTGGGTTGCTTCCACCATTTAGCTATTACAAATTGCACTGCTATAAACATGGGTGCACATATATCGCTGTGATATGATGTTTTGAGATCTTCTAGGAAAATACCCAGAAGGGGAATAGCTGGGTTGAATGGGACCTCTAGACCTAGTTTGCTGAGGAATCTCCAAACTGATTTCCACAGTGGTTTCACCAGCCTGCATTCCCACCAACAGTGGAGAAGAGTTCCTATTTCTCCACAGCCTCACCAGCCTTTTTTATTGGTTGATTTCTTAATGCTAGCCATTCTTACTGGGGTGAGATGAAATCTTAATGTTGTTTTAATTTGCATTTCTTGCATGACTAATGATGTTGAACATTTTCTCATGTATTTATTTTCCATTAGTATTTCTTTATCTGAAAAGTGTGTATTCATCTCAGATGCTCATTTTAGGATTGGGTCTTTGAATTTGGGGGGGGTTGATGTTCTTTAAATCTTTATATGTTTTAGATAGAAGACCTTTGTCTGAGGGACAGCCAGCTAAAACTTTTTTATCTCTGTTTTTTAAAATGTAACTTTTGTTTTTCTCTTTGGGCTTCCACCTTGGAAGGTGGCATCCAGACCTTCAGAACTGTCATTATAAGGATGTGAATGTACTGGGAGAAGCAATAAACACGGCTACAGCCATGACGTTTTAGTCAGGGCCCCAGTGGCCAAGCACATATGTGACAATGGTCCTGTCAGATTGTACGGCCTAGTGATCTCTTAGGTGTATTAGTTTGTGTAAGTAATGACTATTATGTTTCCACAATGAATCGCCTAAAATACATTTCTTAGAACTTAAAACACTTATCTCGATAGGACTCACACATGACAGTACTCAGAAATGAGAATCATGCTCTAGTTTTAAATAACAAAATCCTTCCAGATAATCCCACTGTAAGCCCTGCTATTGTACACTCTCACTAGTTCCGCCTGCTATCGGAAAGTATGTTTATCCAAAGTTGACTGGAAAAATCTTATCCAAAGTATGCTTATCCAAAGTTGACTGGAAAAATCTTATCCAAAGTATGCTTATCCAAAGTTGTCTGGAAAAATCTCTTCAGAAATCTTTGTGTCACCTGAGTTGCTCTGCAATGATATGTTTATAAATCTCATAATAGATTGCTATATATTTCATCCATGTTTAATAATTAGCTTTTTTCTTTTGTCCTACTCAGATATATGGGCAAAGTGAAAACATAATGTAATTATCTCTTCTCTCTTTAGAGGAAAAGAACCAAATTCATTGCCTGTGATTTTCTGACTGAGTGGTTATACAAGTAAGTTGGTTATGTCTTTCAATATTCAGTGGTCCCTGATAGTCAACTGTGTGAATTTATAAGCAGAATAGCAACAACTGACTTGAATTCTTGCTTATTGTTTTCTTGTCAATCAAACATATGGCAACGTGACCAGCCAAAATCCAAAGAGGGCAGGGGAACCGTTCACAGAATTCTTCTCCATCCCATGTGTGGAGGAATGGCTAATGCACAAGTAAGTTTGAATAATTCATTTCTAACCTTAAAATTGTGTTAATGATGGTTTTCTCCAATTTAAGAGAACTAACTCCTGTTGTCCACCTAGGATCCAGGTTCAGGTATATGTGTAGATCTTGTCTCTGGTTATTTTTAGCGCAGGCTAACCACATCCTATCCTTGCTGTGATTTAATTCCAGAAGCAATTCAGAGATAAAATAGAAAACAAATTCTTGTCCTAAACAATTTATCCTTCCACTCTCTCTCTTTGTTCATCTGTCTGTCTGTCTGTCTCTGTCTCTCTCTCTCCCTCTTTTTTTTTTTTTTTTTGAGACAGGGTCTCCCTGTATTACTCAGGCTGGTCTCAAAGAATCCTCCTTCCTCAGTCTGCCTTTCTCTCTCAAGGTTATTATGCCTCAGGAAATATGACAAGTCTTTTCTAGCCATTAATTTCTTGTCATTTTTCCTTTAATAATATTAGAACATGATATATAATGTTAAAAATCTCTTTGACCATTCTAATGTAGATCTCCTGCTTTCACAGAGCTCTTAAAATTGATTTAACCACATAAAATTTTTTATATTATGTAAAATTAGTAGTATTGTTTGGTATGAGCTGTTTTCATCAGTGATGTAACACTGATAATGATGATGATAGTAGCTATTATTAATTGAGCACCTATATCACTCTTTTCAACATTTAATAATAATGAACTAATTTGTTTGGCCTAAAAATGCTATATTACCAGCTCTAGTTTGCAGATGAAGAAATTTCTGTACTATTCTGCAACTAGCTTTTATTTTACTTAAACATTTACTTTTGAGATCTAGCCACGTTGATTCAATTATATCAAATTCATGCCTTTTGATGGTTTTATGTATTTTAGATTGTGTAATTTATTCATTCATACAAGAAATATTTATTGGATACTCCTACATGTCAAACATCTCTGAAGTGATGGTAATAGATTAGTGAACAGAGTAGCATGGAATCCCAGCCTTCATGGAATTTATAGTCTAGTGAGTAAGACAGACAATAAGCAAAATGCCTAAGTGTTGTTAGAAATAAAGCAGAGAGAATGTGTGGAACATTTAGGGGCTGGATTCTATAGAGGATGGCTATGAAAGATCTCACTCAAGGATGACATTCAAGCAATACCCTACTACTGTTTTAAACCATAGGTGGAAAAAAAAGAGAGCTCAATTTACAGAAAAATAATATATATTTTGTCTTTTGCTTTGAAAATATTTCTATGCCACCCTTTTATAAGAACAATGTCAGGAAACTGAGGCACAAGGAAATCAAGTGAGGCTTGCCAAGTCCCTTTCTAAATGGAGTGGAAAACCTTAAATTAAATGCTTAGCCCTAAATATCACATCTTTTGTTTAAATTTGCCCTTCTTAAGAATGTCAAGTTGAATAGACTCTTGGCTCTTTCTCAGTTTCAAAATTTTTTTTAAGAAAAGATATTAGAGGTTTTCTTTTTTCATATCTGAGACTACACATTGAAAAGGAGAATAGTATCACAAATCTTTGTCTGTTATTTAACTTCTAAATCTTGTGCCTAATTGTGTCAAATATAAACTAGAAGGCCCATATTTCATTGCTTTGCATGTGCTTTTCTAAGACAGGGCTGTTTTCAGCACCATTTCCCAAGTTGCTGCTTTGCCTTGAAAATGAGCCATTTTCTCACTTGTACTAGCCAGTGAAAAAGAGTCTTAAAAATAAGAAATCTCTACACAGGAGTTCCCTCAGATCCCTAGTCCTTCTTCGTCAAGCATCTGAATTCAGTATGGCTGTGGAGGTCCACCAGCAGCTCAAGCGTGTGCTGTGAAGGAGGAGCGCAGTGTTTGGCTGAATTCCACGGGAACACGAACAGAGCTCTTGCTTTAACTGGCATTTGTATTTATACTTCTATTGCCTTTCAGAGAGGTGCCCAGAAGCATGATAAAAACTAAAATGATACTCCTCTAATTCATTTGATGCAATAAGTATCTGTTGAGCTCCATAACACAGAGAGCTTGATGTGGAAAAACAGAGATAAATAAATTATGGCTCCAGCCCTTGGGATGAGAGAGATGTATTTACAACCAGCTGTAGTTTCTGTAACAAGTGTTGGAATTCGGATGTTAACAAAGCACTAAAGGGAAGTGGGGAAGCAGGAGACCTTACCTGCTCCCCTGGTAGGCCCGGAGCCAGCCCAGCTGAGGCAGCAGCCAAGGTGCTTAGTGCTTAGATTTGGTCTGTGAGGCAAGAACTCAGGTGCTGACATCTTTTCAAGGATACTTGTAAGCAGAAAGAGAGAACCAAACAGGCACCAAAGTTCTTAGGAGAATGAGGGGAGGAGCAGGGAAGCAGTATCTAATTTAGGCTTTCCCAGTCTTGGTGTGACTTCTGCGAAGGACTGGGCCATTCTTTGTTGGGGAGGGGTGGCCTGTGCATTGTAGATTTACCAGCATTGCTGACCTGTGTGCATTAGATGCCAACTGTACCCTCTATAGTTGTTTCTACCCAGAATACCTGCTGACACTGCATATACTCTCAAAGGTTGGAAGTGAGGCAAAATTACCCAAAATTCATCAAATGAATTAAATTACCCCTTGAGAACCTCTGGTCTAACACAGTGGTTTTCTACCTTGGCTATACTTTAAAATAATCTGGGAGGCTTTGGGAAAGTATTGGTACCTGGCTTTACTTAAGACCTATTACATAAGAATCTTCACATATAGTCTGCGCATTGGTTTTGTTTTTAAAAACTTCCTAGATGATTTTAGAGTATGGTCAGGATTGAATTTTCATCCATAGGGCAGAAGATGCTCTATACCTGGGACATAATAAATAATATAATGGAGCTGTTACTCTTCTAAACACTTCTATGAATGTTATCTCATTTAATCTTCATAATGGTTGGACATATGTATGGAAGCTGAGAGCCTACAGCTGAGAAGTAAATAATGAAATGAGTGGGTTTGGGCAAATATGATGGTTATTAGGGGCAGGAGCATGGTGGATAGGTATTTTTAGTAGGGCTTAAAGGTACAGATTGAAGGAAAGTGAATTTTGAAAGACTGTCAAGATTTATTAAAGGAAGCAAAATATAAGTTAATACTTCCAGGAGCATTGGATTGGGGTTAAGAGCCTGAGCTTTGGGAACAAACCAGTATTCAAGTGTCCACCTCACCACTTAGCCACTGATTGACCATAGGCAATTTTTTTCTTTATTTATTACTATGTAATAAACTGCCCTGAACCTTAGTGGCTTAAAGCATTACATATTCATTATACTATAGTGTTTGTGGGTCCGGAACTTAGTTGGGTGGTTCCAGGCTACAGTCACCTGAAGGTGGACTGGGCTGGGGTTTTGGTTTCAAGATGACAGGTGCATATGGGCTGGCTGCCCATATGGGCCTTTCCATGGGCTGCTTGAGTATCCTCAAATATGGCAACTGGTCTCCTACAGAGTGAAAGATTTGAGCATAAAGAGGAAGTCATATACGTGCATCTTACAACCTACTCTTGGAAGTTAAACTTGCATTTCTATCACATTCTGTTAGAAATAAGTCACTGAGAACATACTCAAAGGGAGGATAATTAGACTCCACCTTATAAAGGGAGGAGTATCCTAGAATGTGTAACATATTCTGAAAGTGCTGCAGCAGGTCCCCTCTCTAAGCTTCCATTTCCCCATTGGTAAATGTGATGTTTGTGAAGATGCAGTGAAATGATACACCTACAAATGGGGTCAGGAACAGGTCTAGCTTATAGTGACAGGTGGCCTTCAACAGCTATTCCTTAAATTTTTTTTTTTTCCGGTACCGGGAATCGAACTCAGGACCTTGCACTTGCCAGGCAGGCGCTGTGCCACTGAACTAAATCCCCAGCCCCTATTCCTCAACTTTTAATGGAGCTAGTTCTGACAAGCCCATCACAAGTTGAAAAATATCGTAAGTCGAAAAGGGTTAATACTCTCAACCTACCAAACATCAGGGCTTGACAACACAGAACACTGTAGAGTGTCAGATATTTCCCCTTGTGATGGTGGCTGAGTAGGAGCTGCAGCTTGCTGCTACTGTCCAGTGTAGCAAGAAAATATATTGCATTATCACTAAACCTCAGGAAAAAGTCAAAATGCAAAGTATGGTTTATACTGAATGTGTATTGCTCTCACACGATCATAAAGTCAAGAATTATAAGTCAAACTATCATTAGTCAAGGGTCTTTGTAAATGGTAAATAGCAGTTATTGTCAGCCATTGTTGATTTAAGAAGGGAACTATAACAAAAGAGGGCATCCCAGGCCAAAGGCCCCAAAGTGGGCCAAGGTAAGATATGGTCCAGGTATGTGCTTCAGCCAGCATAGTTGGCTGCTAGAATGTGGAGATGAAACTGGAAGATAGAGAGTGGATTATGGCATTCAGTAAAAGAATGAAATTTGAGCATTATTCTGTAAGTAACAGAACATTCAGAGGTTTTCCAGAAGTATAATGGGATCAGAGTCTTTGGGCCAGACAATTCCTGAGACTGAACAGAGGATATGAGAGGTTTGGGATAGCCTAGAATTGGTTCTAAGGGTATGGTTACAGTTCCAAGGTACTGACTAGGATGATGGGAGTGTAAAAAATGGGGTCATGGAAAGGATAGAATGGGTGGATAACAAGGGATAAATTTAGGGGCAGAAAAGGGGTGTATATGATAAGGTAGCATTTACTTCTGAGCAAATGAAAGACCTGTAATGGAGGCTAAGAGACCTAATCAGAAGAACAGGTTCCAGAATAGAGATGATGATTGTTGTCTGGGGCACAGTGAAGTTGAGTCACCTATAAGACATATATCCTGGAAGCACTGGCCTAAAGCTGGAACTGGTACTGGAAGTTAAGAACCCCATGTCAAATGTGGGGATTAAACTGAGATGGACAAAGACTGAATTTTGGGCCATCCCAGAGTTGGTTCTAGAAGTTCATGACTCTAAGTTGGTAGTGGTAGCAGTGGCTTGGCAGTAGTGACCATTTTTTTTTTTTTG